GCTCCGCTCCGTATAATAAACTTAAAGAATACTGTTTATCACTGAAAGCTACTACGGCACACCCCTCCTCCCAAAAAAACGACTTAATAACCCTACAATGGAAGGACTATGTAGTTGACTTGACACATATACATGAAAATGCACATCAGGTCGGAATAAGTCAAAAAAGGATAGGGACTCCTCTCTTCTCCAAAGTTGATAGCGTAGTAATCTCTATTTCCATATCTGCTCGTGCCTCTCCCTTCTTTTCCTATTTGCAGAAACAGCTGCAAGTCGACGTTTAATGTGTCAAATTCAGTCTGAACGTGACAACTTCATTAGAATAACACCTGCTCACTGACGCCAATAGTTATTGGACTACTCTCACTCTTTCGCGAATTCTGGGCCATTTTCAAGATTAACTCACCTACTCGTCATGACTTTTCTTGCGACGAACCGTCTGACCATTCCCAACAGTATTAGTAGCAGAGGCATTCTGAACAAATGATTAAACCAGAGACCAATTTAAATATTGGCTCAGGACGTCACTAACCTGCAATGGCTCCACACTAGACATTTTCTAGTACTCTGTACCAACAGACCTTTTCATATGGAACTTACTACGCATCAAATACACTTCTCGAATGATGCCGTCTATGCTAATACAAAAGATACCCGAAGTCTATGGACTATTGACTGTTTCAGAATCCATTTTCATCCAATACAACAAGTATTCCCAGCAGAATTAATCTATATCACCTTTAAAAGTAACATGGTATCCTGGATATGCATTGATATAGCCACACACGTTGGTTACGCAACTGTGGATGCTTTATTGATACTCCAGATTGTTTAAGTGGGTCCTTTGTGGTTAGCAAACTAGAAACTGAAGACCATTCCAAGTAATACACTATTATATCACCAATCAGCAAAGTATGCGAATGGACTAACAACGTCGGTTGGTTGCAACGCGAACCTTGAACACTGCACACTTTTGATATTGATAATGGAACCTATCTATGTGATGGGAGATGGCAATCCATATCCGTCTCATGAATTTCAGCAAATTTCAATAAGATTATGCACACTAATGACTTGATATGTAAATTATTTAATACTAGATACTTTCAAAAGCTATGAATTTGACGGTGCTTGTTAACTGGTGTCCCTCATGTTAAAACTGTTCAATGAAGACAATATTTATTATTATCTAAACTTTAACATTCTATGCACGCTGTGAAGTAATATTTTTCTTGTTCGTTTCATAACTAGCAGGACCTCCAGCAGTTTTTAATCGACTTTATTGACATTCCGTCAGCACCACTCGGGGCTCAAGTCTTGTAGATATTTTGAGATGTATCAACGTGATGAAGCCTGTAAACTGGCTTTTCTCATGTTAAAATCTTTTTTAACGCGAGAATAAAACATTTATACCTATTTATTTGTACACCTCCACGTATTCGTCAACTCACTTCTCAACGGTTGAAAATCGGCATTATTATTTCTCTGAACCGATTAATCTGTCTCCTGTCAGTGGTTCTCGAGTGTTTCAACTGAGAAACTGCCTGAGCTCTCGGTTCTCTTCGGAGGTCACTCCCCAGGAAACATCTTTTCTGCTTCCACATACGCATCTGGAGCTTGCGGCTAAAGTCGTTGGTCAGGAGCAGGGGAGCAAGTCACGAGTGTCTAAAGGTAAGCCAACGTAGATTGTCTTCCCTTATAAATTATGCATTTTTACTGCATTCAGTCTTCAACCTCCTAGGCCTAGATTCACGAAGCAAGAGGAAAGAATGCCACCGCCAAGACCTCTGGAGTCAGCGGTAGTCACACAGGCACTGACCAATGGGTCAGGTACATCCAGCAAAGGAGCTCCTGCCGCCACGGCCCCCACCCAAGTTGAAAATAGAACGCGAAAATACACATTCAGCCCTCCCCTCTCACCAGGCACACTCTAACATGTATGTACAGCAACCTTAGGGGGCTAAGAGGGAAGGTAGCAGAAATGAGGATGTTGCGTGAACTTCGGCACTCTGATACCATGGCTCTCACCGGACATCGACGATGGGATGCATGTTACTGGCATGGAACTCTTCCGAAGGGGCAGAGAGCTCAGAGCAGGAGGGTAATTGGCTCTTTACGTAAGCTCTCGTTTAAAGGCAAGGGTGGTTAGCGATACCACCCTAAACCAGCTCCCTGAACCTCTATGGTGCTGCTTGACGCTCCACTGTACCAAATACCTGCTCGAAGTCACATATCTGTCCCCCACCAGCTCCCCTACACATAAGGAAGTGGTCATCAAGGCGACCTTAATGACTTCCTCTGCAAATTACGATTCCGTAGTCATTGCCGGCGACTTGAACACCCTGTCCATCCTCTTCGAGATGGAAGGGAGACGCATCAGATCGTTCAATCAGGAGCTGAAGGATGCAATTAAGACTGCTGGCATCTCAAAGAAAGTGGGTGATGCCACACTCTGGGGACCTAACGGAAACGCATCATGCCCTGACTACGTTCTGACGAACGATGACTTTCTCGTTGAGGTTGTATGCATCCAACCTCCTCTTGGCCTCAGTGACCACACAGTAATAACCTCCTCCATGATTACTAGAGAAGCCCTACAGCTGAGGCCGCCCAACACCTTCCCTTGCTACAGCGAGGCCGACTACCAGACCATGAGGGGCTATCTCATGAATACACCATGGACGGTAGACGAGACCAATCTCACGATAGATGGATGCTGATTACGGGCGAAGAAAATAATCGCTGGGGCCATCTGTCACAGTGTACCAGAGGTAAAACATAGACCGTCAGTGAGAACCTCATGGCTAAGGCGGGGGACGGAGAGGCTTATCCACAACAAGAAGCAGGCTTGGTTCAAGTGGCGTACATCACGCAGGGAGTCTGACTTCTTGAACTATAAGAGGATTCGCAGCCGCTGTAACATTAGGATACGTAGCGACAAATTCACCTATCCAAAAAACCTGGCGGAAAGGTTGCAAGAGCAGTCCTAAGAATCTGTACCGCTTCACGTCGAGAAGGAAGTCAGCCAGCAAGAGAATGAATCTTATCACAGGTCATGATGGAGTGTACTAAGCAGTCTAAGGTTGATGAGCTTTTGAGCTCACACTTCCGAACCCAACTTAGTATCGATCGCAAATCCATGCCGACTCGTTACGATACCGGCCAGGCCATAAATAACGAATACCCCTGCCACATCTCAATCACAGAGGAAGGAGTGTTGGAGAAATTATCTAGGCTGCATCCCGGCAATTCCCCAGGCTGCGATAACCTAAAACCGGTGATCCTAAAAACTGAGTCAAGGTGCTTGCAAAACCAGTTTGCAGCCTCCTTAACCACTCAATAGAGTCGTGCAAACTGCCTAAAGAATAGAAGTGTGCCATTTTGTCACCCATCTTCAAGGAAGGAGACGGAAAAAGCACTGGCAGCTACAGGCCAATCGCTCTACTCCCTGAAGTGTTGAAAAGCCTGTTAGCTGACATTATCTAGGAATTCCTCAATAAAGAAAACACCGTCCGTACTGCTCAGGATGGATTTCGGGGTTGCCGCTCATGTGCCACCAACTTACTGACCGCTTGGGACGACTGGACAGTATGCTGGGTCAACAGAGAACGGTACATGTTGTCTTTCTCGACCTAGCCAAAGCATTTGACAGTGTCCCACCCACAGTACTGCTTCACGAGATCATGTCGGCTAGCTCAAGTGAACCCCTACTCTCTTCTTTCAAGGCGTACCTTGAAAAGGGGCATCTTTGCTCCGAAGCAAATAGAATAAGGTCGGAGTGGGGACCTTCGACGGAAGGGGAATCCCAAGGAGCAATCCTGGGACTGCTTCTGTTTTGTTAACGATCTGCCAGACAAAATATCCTCACCCATCCTCCTCTTCGCTGATAACATTAAGGATGGTAAACGAATAAACTGACTGCACAGCACTACTAAAGGACTTGCAGCAACTCGAGCTCTGGTCGTCGGAAAACGGCTTGGGCTTCAGCCTGGAAGAGTGCAAGGTAATGCACATCGGTAAATACGAAGCAAGTGTGACAGACTTCCAACACATGCTGAACAACCTTACTATCACCAGAGTGTCCATGGGGAAAGATTTTGAGGCACAACTTCTTCCACACCTTGGACACCAGCTCCAACTACAAAGGTATGACAACCAGAGTGAAAGCCATTCTGCACTTTCTGCGTGGAGAGCTTGGTGCCCTCAACCCCAAACTCTTCCTTGCCTTTTTAAAATCCTGAGTGCAGCCGCATATAGAGGTCTTCAATACGGTTACCCCCAACACTCGAGAGGGACCGTAATCCCCTTGAAAAATACAAAGAATCGCAACACAATCAGTCGTGGATCTAAGGGGTAAGACATATCATGAAATACTTAAATACCTAAACCTATTAACCTAGGGTTATCGTACGAAGAGGCGTGAACTTATTATGGCCTACAAGGTCGTCCATCAGGCAAACCACTTTAAAAAATTAGCCTTGCCTGCAACACAATGCTCTTCATGAGGAAACTTCATTAAGACAGCACATCAGGGAGCCAGCGCCATACCCAGGTCCAGTTTTTCTCAGTCGAATCATTCAAGTGGCGGTTAGACAGTTATATCACCTCTCATGGTCTACCATGGAAGTACTCAGGCATCACCGACCTCACTAAACATCCACCTCACCGAAGCTAAAAGCAGGAAAGCAGGGGGGATTTCCTCGTCCACTGCAGGAGCAAACCGAACAACTGGAACCAAGCACTAAGAATTAAACGCGAGAGACCGAAAACTACCAGTTTTCTAAGCTTGCACTATCAATACTGGATATTGGACTACCTCCAAAGCTAATAGCAGATAAACTATCAAGGCTTCTGCGACCCCCATATCAGTATGACCGAAAAGGACAAAGTGAGCGTTGAGACGTAGAAGTGGGTGCTAGGGAACTACCAGTTCCGTGTAATGGCAGTTGTGATTTTGGGTGTTGAAATCATTTGACACCATTTGACCTTCATCCACACAAATGTCAGCGCGTATGAAACAGGTGCGGAACTCAATTGATCAAGAAGTTTCAGACATTGGAGGTCTTCGAAGAGTTTTTGCGAAGTCTACTTTTAACAGTGACAAGTGTAAGATATATATATATATATATATTTGATAATAACTTTGCATTTCTCACCTTCCTGAGGGCTGCGCTAAGTTTATTACATTTTTGTTGCAAAGCTTACAAAGTTCTTTATCTCTTATAGTTAAAATCGTGACTGAAAATAAGATAAATGATGCTGCAAGCTCACCCCTGGTGTCTACACTTGTGCAGTATTGAGCGAAAACGTGGTCGACTCCCTATGTGGAGGAAATATATACCTGTAGTCAGTATTATCTTACATATGTCTATAATCTAAGTGTTTCTTAAAATATCTGGTTTTAATCAAGTATTGTAGGTATTAGGTTAACACTGTGGCTATTGAACAATCCACCGAAAAGCGTATGCTTCTTTTTATCAACTCATCAAGTTTTGCACTGTTAACTACATTTGGTGTTTCCTGAATACATGAAATATGTTTATATCCTTGACTAAGTGATTTAAATGCCTCAAATTGCCATGCATTTACTCCTACTTAAAGATCCCTGACTTTCAGAAATGAATAAATAATGAAATGAAACTAAACACTAAATTTAGTACATATTTGCCTGCAGTACATTTCCTAGTTGTTTCAGGCTGTTATATAAGCAGTTTTGTGAACTACTTCTTCATTCTAGCTATTCTCTTCGTCAGAGCTTGAAACATTGAATGTCTGAGAAGGACTATTTTCTCGTAATAAGAGTAAACTACGAATTTTTCCGAGTAGACATTCTTCCTTACTGAAAGACCGCTGGAGACGTATTCTATTGATATTTTTTAAAACTTTAATATCTCGTGACACTTACGATGTTCTAGCCTACACGGGATGTAGATTCACAACACATTTCCCTTTCATCACCTGACTACATAGAGGTTGGCCAAACCGTGGGGATATGCAGATGAAGACCTGTTAGGTGAAGACGCTGACAAGATGTAGAGTCTTCTGAACACTTTGAGCGTCAATCTGAGAATGTTTGGGATGCCTTTCTCACCAAACAAATGCAAGTTGTTGCTCCAGGATCTGTCTTCAACGGTGCCACGGCTAACAATAGAGAATGAATGTAGTGGTTGAGTGTGTTGACCACTTTATTTACTTAGGAAGTAGGATCAGCCTTAGTGGCTCAGTAGCTGACGAAATTTCTACACGAATATAGAAGGCTTGGTTGGCTTTTGCAAACCTGCGCCACTTTTGGAGCTGCCAAAATATCCGATTACTTATCCAGGGTTGCGTGTACTGCACAACAGTCCACTCTCTTCTACTCTATGGTTGTAAAATATGGCCATTGAAGATAGACTAGATGAGAAGGCTTCAAGTGTTTGAGCACCGTTGCCTTTGTAGTATAGACCGTATTCTATGGTGTCACCACGTGAGTAACGCAGAAGTCAGTTGTAGAGTTTTAGGGTGGGAGGGAGAAAAGGTAAATCAGTTCATGGGGTTGTGAACCCTTACCATTGATATGGGTGGCTGACTGGGACGTGTGTCAGGCATGCCTACTCGCCGTCTGCCTCGTCACATAATGTTTGCCGAAGTAGCTTCAGTCTGGTAAAAGGATTGAGGTGGCCAAGCTAAAACATGGCATCGATGTCTGAAGTCGATGACTGTTAGTTTGAGCCATGTGGGGGTCTGCGGGACAAGAGAAACCAACGGTGGTTGGGGACTGACTGGGTGATGTAGCTGGGAATTGATGTCAGTGGCGCACACATTATCCTTGTCTTAAGGCTATACCGAATCTCATTCTTCCTTTCTCTCTTTTAATACTTTGTATTTCTTTTGAATGAATTTTCTTTTCTTCATCTTCCACTTCATTACCTTTTTACTTGGTGTGGTGATGAGGTGTGGCAACTCGGACTGTTACTCAGTAATGCCTGTTCCTATGTTGATTTGGATGAATAGGCAACACATTCAGAGAAGAAGTCTAATGATTGTCATTAAAACATTATATGTTCGGTTTTACTCCAACTTATGCCTGATCAAAAACGTCTTGGTGTCTGATTAACATGATAAAAATTGAAATGCAGCGCGAAATTTTACGTTTATCAACAGTCCTGAAAGGACTATATGACAGGTGTCCGACAGTTGTCGAATATACTTTGCGGTCACATAAACCTTTATCGCTTTCAATTACCTTGAGAAGAAGTAGCCATCCACGATGTGAGCTGTCCTCTTCAACTGTGTCTGCCCTTTACTTTCACCTCCTGATATCACTCTTTTTCTACCCACTATTGTAAAGTATGACAACTTGGACAGGTTCGCTTGTATGTTAAGTTCTACTTCGGTTTTTTATGCCTGTCTGTCTGCCATACTGTTCCTTATGTAGACAGAACTGGGTGGAGTGGGACCCGGGATTTATTGTTAAAAATCGACCGCTTAAACCAGTGCATATCGTCCTCATTTGTGGCATCATAATCGACACGGGATGCTTGAAACAACACTTTTATCATTTGTACCATACTCCTTATTGGACCATCTAGTTTGTATGAACTAAATAAAGTTCTCAATAGAAGGTTGACGAAATATCACTCAAAGGCAAAACAGTTATTCATGTACAAAACAACCACTCGTTGTTAACACTGAATTGGATATTCCCATGCGCCTAATATTCATCAATGCTGTTTACATGGACGCACTGCAGTAAGGGTATATCCAGACAGTTCTTGGATGTCCTACGGGATTTTGATTAAGTGAGAGTTGAAAGCATTTGTCAAAAAACAAATCGGTCAAACATGTTAGAGATCTCAATAGATTCTCACAATGCAGACTTACTAAACTAGTTTTTAAGGATGGAGGTAGGAAATTACTGAGTAGATTAATGGAGGTACTAGGTAGTATATCGGAATCTTAGGTATTCCTATTACATTAGTGTATTTCACTGGTCATTCTAGTCTATAACAACCATCGAGAAATCAATTTGACTAATACTGTGTCCAAGATCATAGGATCCATAGTTATCCAACGCCTAAGTTGAACTCGAGAACAACAAATCCGAGAGAACCAAGCAGGTTCCAGACCTTGACGAGGGCACATCGATCAGGTTTTCACCTTTCGACAGGTTCTGAAACATGGACATACTTACCGGCTACTGTTACTTGTCTTATTTCTTGACCTAGAGGCGACAGTTAACTCTGTCGACCACGAGGTGTTGTGGCAGTGTCAGACTGTGAAGAGAGTACCGACCAAGTATATAACGCTAATCAAAGCCCTTTACTCCAATTCGTGCAGCTGTGTAAGGGTTTATGGAGGTTTGTCATCAGAATTGACGACAATTGGTAGTGTTCACCAGGGATGTTCAGTTTCACCGTTCCTATTTAACGTCATAGACGTATTCATAAACAAAGTATATCTGACTTCGCAGGGATTGATCTACTTTCTAACCGTGAAGTACGCAGACAATATTGACTTGTTAGGTGAAGACGCTGACAAAATCCAGGGTCTTCCAAACACCATGAGAAATCTGAGGATGTTTGACTGGTATGCGCCTCACACCTGTCAAATGTAAGATTATGCTCCAGTCTGACACAATCAACCACTACATTCACTCTCCGCTGTTAGCCAAGGCACCGTTGAAGACCATTCGACAAGTACAGCTCCCGGGATATCTCACCATAGATAGACGAGGATGGATGTTTATCACCACCTATTTGTTGATCTGTTGAGGTCATTTGTTTTTTGAAGGCACGACTACTCCTCCTTGTGTGTGTATATGTGTTCACACATAAATGTAAATTGATAAACACAATGGAATGTGATGTAATCGTTTCGATATTGTTTTGATTTGTGTTGTAGCACAGACTTTTTCTTCTCTACAGTGATAACATTGGCTGCAGTAATATGCTGTGGAGATAGCTGTTCCCCACAACAAAGCTATATGAATCACCTTTAAGTGGTAATGAGATGTAGACATTTCTCTTAGCAACGGAACACTGTGTACTTTTCAATGGCACATAACTTTTTCACATGTCGATAAATTTCAACGGATATCCAGCCATTCTGTATCAGTGTTGTCGTCAGTAAGTTGGTTTCTTCCTCCCTGGTGTCATCGGTGCAGATGCGGTTTATTCTGTTGAATAAGCATCTAACTAAACTGAATTCTTTTTATTGGACTAGGCAATAGTTATGGAAATTAAGATACTGTCTTGTCCATGTAGGCCTCCTACAGACAAACCTCCTGATCGAGCCATCCTCGCATCGATTAAGCAATGTCTAGGAACGGTACTTGGTTGTTCGGTTCTTGTTCATAAGTAAGGCTAATGTGATTTTTAACCATATTCGTCTTCTCTAGCATAAACATTCATCTTCGTGTATCGCTAAACAACCCCTGGTTTATGTATACCATATTAATTTGTACTCAAGTTGAACCTGCCTTGATAATGTATTGATTTGAATTTTCATACGAAAAATAACTTGGTTAACAAATTCTTTTTCCTCTCTCTGGCCTTTTTATTTCTCTAATGTATCCTGTTAACTTCAATGATCCTTTTCATAAATTTCCATACGGTGAATAGTTCGACAAGTCCATGTATGTGAACAAATTGTTTGAAATGTATATAGCGCTAATGTGACATCAAGAAATGTTTCAGATAATCTTCGTCTTCCCATTACACTGTTTAAATTTATCACATGGATCAGTTGTGAACGAACAAACCAAATTCACTCAACAACCTTGTATACATTTATGCTGTAGACGATTAATTACATACTCTATTGTATTGTAAACGCTAATGAATACTACTCAGTAGGTGAAGTGATGTTAACACGTGTGGTGGTCATACTTCATCTATGTAAATCAGCTATAGCTCAGTGGTTCCAGGGAGATCACTATTAACCAGTGTAGGTCATTGCTTCAAACCTTAAGTTCACCTTCCGAAGTGTAAGCAGCCAGGTAGCATCATCAACCCTAATACACATTAGGTATGGCTTATTTGTGCTAAGTGAAGCATATGTATGCCTTTCGATAATCACATCACAATAACAGGATGGGTCTGGGATGATTACTTGTTAACTATCAT